AAAGCTTGTTCTATAGACTTCCAAGATGGAGGAAACACTGAGAGGGTGGGGTCTATAGGAAATTGTTTTGGAGGATTCCGCAAGGTAAAATGGTTCATCTTCCTGTAGATAGGATGATGATTGTACAGATCAATTGTGAGGAGATGACAAGTGCAAATTCATATAAGTGAATAGATTTATAAGAATGGATGCAAATCCACAAAATCCTTGATTGAAGAAACAAGGCTCGAATATGAAATTAATTAGATAGTAACCAATATTTGTTAATAGTTAACATGCCTGTGTTATTGTCAATCAATATTCGACAACTGTTGAGATATCCATGAACATGCCAAAATGTTTGTATCTCATCCATTTTAATCCATCCAAGTGCTTCGAAATTGATGCATCAGATGAAAAATCATGACTTTTCGACCTAATGAACATCGTTGACCTTGGAACACCTGATAGTTTTTTATTTTCTTATATTTTACAATCATTTTGAATGATTGAATGCAATTTCACCATCTTTTCGTGCGCTCCAAGAGATGAAAAAATACCGTACCAATTATTAAATGGGACAAGATATATTATCTCTATCAAGAACTTGTTTATTTTTATGTTACAGATCATTCATATCAATATAGTGGATGCTTGATACCATGCACCTGGATTTCTGGTCTGATTTCAGCTCTTTTTATTCAGATGTTTTGATATCAAAATATATGTGATGTAATTATAGTGTGAACTTTTGCTTGAATAAATTTGTTCTCATAGAGACTCTTTATTCTTTCTGTTAGGAAAAAACAATTGGAACCATTGATCATCGACTCAAAATATTAACTATCAATAACCAAACAATATATTATATATTGACGAAGCATAACTTATCAATAACAAAATGATTTCTTATGCTATAAGTAAGGACTCTTTATTGAAACAATGCCTCCTTTCTGTACAACACTGGAAAAGCTAAAATTAAAACGCAGTGTATTAAGTTTTAATATAGATAACTTAACATATAAGTAGAATGAAGAGATTTTGTATTTCGTGTAAATTTTTTTAATTATAAATCGCAAAGCGCTTTCGGCTAAAAAGCCATCATCAGTGCTATACCTGCAAGTAAGTAACATTTGTGAAATTTCAAAAACAAATCTAAAAAGGTAGATTACTTACTCGTCAAGTATTTACAAAAAGGTCCAAAAATTAGTGATCACAAACATCATTATGGTACAAACGGGATTATGAACAGACATACATTTAACAAAAATGTTCCCTAAAGGGTTATTGTAAAATTTTTTTCAAAAATACATGTTGAGATTGTTTTGTTCAAGTCCAGAAATAGCATGAGGGACCTTAACCTTATTTATTCTGGAAATTGTTTGATAATTTTTAACCTTAGTAAAATGTTGACAATGACTGAGTGTCAATGTCTATGACTTAGTTAACCTGTGTATGAAGTAGACAAGTGACATAATGGAAAAAGCGCTTGGGAAAGAATTGACAAGGTGAGCAGAAAAGCTGTCTGAAAATTTTGAAACATTCTGAAAGGTAAAATAAGATGAAGTGGACTTCAATCCAGGCTAAAGAGTAAACCTTTTTTAGTAAAATTGAGAGAAAAGAGTTTCCAATCAAGACTTAAGAGTCCTAGTGTCCAAACTGGAAGTCCAAGGAGAATTCCTGTAGACGAATGCCTCATCAGAAGCAAACATACCACCAGAATACCTCCAGACCCAGAACGAAGGCCGAACTCAAGTCTCAAAAGTAAGCCGGATCCTGAATGCAATTTTGTTGTGTTGGGTGAAAATTAAAGAGCAGGACTTCCATTTCGGACTCAAAAGTCCTAGTGTTCGAGCCGAAGATCTAAGGATGCCCAACCCAAGTTGTGAATCCACAAGAGAATGACAACATCAGTTGAGCCTCCCGACCTCAAGCGTAGACCGGACTCAAGTCCGAAAAGTAAGACTTGAGTCCGGTCTACGCTTGAGGTCGGGAGGCTCAACTGATGTTGTCATTCTCTTGTGGATTCACAACTTGGGTTGGGCATCCTTAGATCTTCGGCTCGAACACTAGGACTTTTGAGTCCGAAATGGAAGTCCTGCTCTTTAATTTTCACCCAACACAACAAAATTGCATTCAGGATCCGGCTTACTTTTGAGACTTGAGTTCGGCCTTCGTTCTGGGTCTGGAGGTATTCTGGTGGTATGTTTGCTTCTGATGAGGCATTCGTCTACAGGAATTCTCCTTGGACTTCCAGTTTGGACACTAGGACTCTTGAGTCTTGATTGGAAACTCTTTTCTCTCAATTTTACTAAAAAAGGTTTACTCTTTAGCCTGGATTGAAGTCCACTTCATCTTATTTTACCTTTCAGAATGTTTCAAAATTTTCAGACAGCTTTTCTGCTCACCTTGTCAATTCTTTCCCAAGCGCTTTTTCCATTATGTCACTTGTCTACTTCATACACATGTTAACTAAGTCATAGACATTGACACTCAGTCATTGTCAACATTTTACTAAGGTTAAAAATTATCAAACAATTTCCAGAATAAATAAGGTTAAGGTCCCTCATGCTATTTCTGGACTTGAACAAAACAATCTCAACATGTATTTTTGAAAAAAATTTTACAATAACCCTTTAGGGAACATTTTTGTTAAATGTATGTCTGTTCATAATCCCGTTTGTACCATAATGATGTTTGTGATCACTAATTTTTGGACCTTTTTGTAAATACTTGACGAGTAAGTAATCTACCTTTTTAGATTTGTTTTTGAAATTTCACAAATGTTACTTACTTGCAGGTATAGCACTGATGATGGCTTTTTAGCCGAAAGCGCTTTGCGATTTATAATTAAAAAAATTTACACGAAATACAAAATCTCTTCATTCTATTGATCAGCAGTTACGTGTATGCAGCTAGTAAAAATCTTCACCTAACATATAAGTGACAGTCGATTGCATTATGGAAACGTTAAGTGAATTCAAAGTAACGTTACATTATTATAAACAAATCTATTTTAATGCGAAATGGGGTATAGTGTCCACAAAGTGATATTTGTTAATATTTAATATATGTTTCATGAGATTGAGATTATTATAACTTAATATTAACCTGTATATTCGTTTGTAATTTTTTAAAATACCATCAGTTTGTGATGAAATCATGTTAGTTAGTCCATATTCAACAACGTCATTCGTTAACAATAAATAAAATTTCTTTATTGTTAATAAACTGTTCTCTCAGTGTAGACGGGTAGATGGGGCCTGCATAGAGATACAGCACACAGAAATGTGTTTCGGATGAAGACAAGTAGCACATCACGTATCTGATTCTTTGAACATGACCCAAGCAAAAAGCGTTAAAGACGCCTTCACCTATTGGAGAAAAATATATTCTCAATGATGACGAACTATTGAACGAAGACGAGAAGAGACTTTACCAGAAAGCAGTTGGCAGTATTCTATATTTGGCTGTTTCAACAAAAGCAGATTAGATATTTGCAGCTACTTTTATGAGCCAGTTCGACCAAAAACCGACTAAACATCATTGGAAAGGACTCAAACATGTTTTGAGATATCTAAATGGTACGAAAGAATAAGGTATAGAATACAGAAAGACCAGACAGACCATGAAGGCATATACTGATGCAGATTGGGGTGCGAATGAGATTGATAGGAGATCGTTCAGCGGATATGTTTTCATTTTTGGGGGAGGAGCAATATCTTGGTGTAGCAGAAAATAACAGAGTGTAGCACTCAGTACTGTTGAATCTGAATTCATTGCCCTCAGCGGAACGACTAAAGAATTCTTATACCTCAAGAAATTAGGTCAACAAGTGAAGAAGGGTGGATTTTCTTGAAATACCGTTCCAGATTAACATTGACAATCAAGGAGCAATCAAGTTAGCAGAAAATCAAATAACTTCGGAGAGATCAAAACTTATTGACTTAAGACTGTTTTACATCAGGGATCTTTTAGAAGAAAAAACTATTGAGTTGGAATATATATAGAGTCCAGAAGAATTTAGCAGACCAGTTCACGAAACCTATTTCTGCAGATTTACTCAAGGACCATTTATTCATATTGGGAATCAGAGAATCAGGGGAAAAGTGAAAATATTATCCCCTGTATATGTTGTAGTTTTTAGTTTTGAAGTGTTGATGAGAATGTCACTCAATCTTTGAAATAAAAAGTCAAATCATTTTAAATTTTCTCAATTGATATCGTCGATACTGGGCATAATCACAACGAGCTCTGCTGATACATTAACATTATTAGCAATGAGCCACAAAGGGAACATTTTCAGACAATTGATTTTGCATTGCTAAATAGGAATATCACCAATACATAATTGAGAATTTATTAATGTTTGAATAACTAATATTTCTGAAGTTCCCAATCGTATTTCAACACATGGCAACTGTGCTACGGTCTGCCCCTACTTACGAAAACGTGAAATCAGTTTTTACTCGCGGTAAATTTCTATCCATTTGAAAATTACCGTGGAATTATTGATGATCTTAGTACCTAAAAATCGACCGAAAAATTCTAAAAATATATGTAATCGAAAGGTATTTGAGTGACGAACAGCGAGGCTCTGGAACACATTGCCAAGGGATGTGTTTCCCGAGGCATATAACCTCCAGAAATTTAAGAAGAACACCAATTCCTACCTCATTTCCCTTGGAGCTCACGATGTTCTCTGAACATTACAGGATATCCTTTTTCGAGGGAACCAGAACATAAAAAAAATCGAGAAATAAAAAAAATTGGTCCACTCGCCTAATTTAAAAAAAAATACATCTTCAGTTTGTTCCGTACTATGTTCCGTATTGTTTCCTGCAAATTGGAGAGCAAAGTTTCCTTGTTATTTGTGAATATTGAATAGTTGAAAAATCATATTAGATAAAGACACGCCTGCCTATTCGGTACTTCACATAAGCAGAGAGGGACTGTATTCAGTAGTCAGAAGGTATAATAGATATAATATCTAGATATTAGTAACAAAATATTGATTTTACCTTTCTGCTTGAGTCTGTATTGCCGTTGGTAACGGTATTGCCCATTTTCAATTTTTGATACTGATGATGTTCCAAATCATCTGTTTCTTTCTTTTATATCGATTGAAATTATCGTGTCTTATCTTATCGCTTTTACTTTCGCAGTATGTAAACCCCCCGGCTCATTTATCTATGCCCCGACTTCTCTCGGGGACTTCACAATATATAGTTACTTAATTCTACAGGGTGTCCCTAAAAGGTCTGTACAAAATTTTAGCACACAGTCGCACAGTCCTGATGAGGTCAATATATAAGCCGATTTAAAGCAACTTACCTCAGTCCGAGATTTCTCAGTTCATCCACTTTTGTCATCATTCATTTTAACAGTATCGTGTTAAATATCTGCTTCAACACTAACATTGTTTTTGAAACAATACAATATGTAATGGGCGTGTACACCTTGGTAGAGCTTTTAACTCAAACCATGTTCATAATGATCCTTTTATACATAAATAATGATTGACAACATAATTCGATCGAAAAATTAACTGGAATGTTTTATTTTTGGACATAAATAATAGTACCTTCTGAAAACGGACCCTCTTATGACGTAGAAACCTCATCTCTCCATAGTTAAAAGAAAACACCAAACGCCCGACGGAGACTGAGGCAACTGATATATTAATTCTTTCAACTGTGATCTCGCGCTAATTCACTCTGTCAGAAATCATGTACCATTCATCTCTGTCTGGAATAGTCTTGTTTCAGTATTAGTATCATCGCCTCGTTTTCAGAGGTCCGAAAAATCGGGGACTTCAATTATTTTTTTATAAAACGTAGGGAGCTCACAGCAAGAAACGGTTTGCTGTGGTGAGCTAGTTTGGGTGAGTTCTATCAAATTATTAAATAAATTTTTTTTGTGATGTAAGCCCATTGAATGAGCTTTTTCATCTATGAATTGAATTAATTCATTCAGGCAAAAGTCGAATAATTTGTAAGCCTCATCTGAGAGACAAACAAAATATTGAGAATGTATTCGAGTAAGGACAAGAGGCGCTATAGGGCCCCCCCTCGCCACCTCTTCCGTACGCTCCTGGGTTATGTGGATGATCCTGCCCCAAGTTTTATAGTGCTCTTTTTCATGAAATTCAGAAGAAAATATGAAGATTGGGCTTTAACAGACCTTGCAGAAAATCCATGGCAGTATTTGGAAATATTGGTCAAGGCATGAGGAATATACGAAGGCCTGGAAGGGACACATAAAATAAAAAGAATAAAAACTCTTCAAAATTCTGAGTTATAACTCAGAATTCCAAAATTCCGAGTTATAACTCGGAATTTTACATCAAAATTCCGACTTATATCTCGGAATTTTAAAATTCCGTGTTATAACTCGGAATATTGGATGTAAAATTCCGACTTATATCTCGGAATTTTACATCCAAAGTTATAACTCGGAATTTTAAAATTCCGAGATATAACTCGGAATTTTACATCCAATATTCAGAGTTATAACTCGGAATTTTAAAATTCCAAGTTATACGAAGGCGTAGAAGGGCCAACAACTTTATTTTTATGGAATTGCCACTTCGAAGTGACAATTGTCACTTTGAAGTGACAATTGTCACTTTGAACTGGCAATTGTCACTTTGAAGTGACAATTGTCACTTTGAACTGGCAATTGCCACTTTGAACTGGCAATTGCCACTTTGAACTGGCAATTGCCACTTTGAACTGGCAATTGCCACTTTGAACTGACAATTGCCACTTTGAACTGGCAATTGTAATTCAGAGATCTGAATATCTCGAAAACTGATACAGTGAGTTTGAATATGGCGCAATTTATTTCAGCGCTCCTTTCTTGATGGAGACAAAGGACAATTCCAGAGGCGTCATTTCAGTGAATACCAGGGGAGTCAAGAAACCCAGACGAATATAAAATATTATATTTTGCAATAGTAAAGATAGTAATACATGATAGTGATACATGTAGTAAATACAGTTATAAAAATAAGTCTACTTAAGAGATCTGCAGAAACAATACGAAAAGAGTGTCCATTTGGATGATTTGACCTAAACATGACCAAAACTAGTACCTAAATTATATTGTATGAATTCATTTCAATAACTCTGATACAATTTGGGTATTTTTTTTATAGAAGAGTATATACGTTTTCTACTGATGATCAACTCTGAAGAAATTTTTGAAACACGACCATCGTCGAATTCGTGCCAGAAGAAACTGCTAATGACAATTTTATCTACTATCGCTAAATATTATCACACTGGATGGCCCAAAGAAAATTAAATCTCGAAAAGCAGTGAAGCAGGGATTGTATTTCTCAACCATAAAATAATTGTGCCTCATAATCTTAAGAAGTTTGTTACATCGAATTATTATACAAAGGACACATTGGTATCAGTAAAACAATAAATAAGGCAAGACAACTATTCTTTTGGCCTCATATGTCAAATGATATAACTACATATATCCAAAAGTGTCGTACTTGTGAAAAATATATGCCTAACAATTTCAAAGAACCATTATTACCTCACCCTGTACCAAGCTTACCTTTCAATCAAGTAGGTGCCGATATATATTAGAGTTTGGTGGAAAATCTTATCGTTTTGATTGATTATTTTTCACATTGGATTACGTTATCTCCTTTGACTGACAAAACTTCTCGTAGTGTTATATATTCAATGCAAGACACGTTTACTCAATTCGGATATCCACAAATACTTGTAGCTGACAATCTTCCATTTATTTCATGTGAATGTAAAGGTTATTAAAAGATGAAAGATATCACTATTAGCACTTGTGCACCACATCATCACCAGAGTAATGGCATGGCTGAAAAAGCAGTTGGAATTTGTAAACAGATCCTTCGAAAATGCCATGATGATGATAAGGACTATAGAGAAGATGTGTTGGAGTATAATAATACTCCAATAATCAACTTAAACGCATCACCAGCGCAAATAGTGCAAAGTAGGAGGTTAAGAACTAGTTTGCCACTGACACATAACAAATTAACACCAAAAGTGAAAAAGCATATTTATGAAAAATTGAATGAACAAAAATTAGTTCAAAAAGAGAGATATGATGAACGTGCACGTAGATCACCTATATATTATAAAAAAGTAGTGTATGTAGTGATAAACACGAATAAAGAAAAGTATTGGCAAAAGAAAACCATTCTCGAAAAAGCTAATGAACCAAGATCGTATTGGGTTCGGAAACACAGTAACAATAAGATAATGCGCAGAATCGCAGAAATATAATTCACATAAAGCCTTCTATAACCAAGCCCAGTTATCAGGATAGGAAACCACCTGAATTAGATTTTGACCACTTATCCGACTATGGTAACGTTCCTCGGAACATTCAGGACAATTTTCTGAATATAGTTCGTACACCATTGCATGACAATAATGACACTCCGGTACCTAACTTACAGAATCAAAGAATATCTAGATTTGGTAGAACAATCAGGTCTCCCAGACGCCTAAATGTTTGATCTAGTTTTGTTATAATTATTTCTCAAAAGGGAAGGTGTTTGGAATATATAAATCCTGTAGTCTAAGTGATATGATTGTTAGGATATTGATGTTCATATGTCAGTTGAAATAGAGTTGTCATTGAATAACTCAATATTGATTTGTTATTATAATCATTTCTAATAAATATCGAGTAGCAAACACAGATGTTCGAGTACGGATGTACTTGCATTTGGAGCAAGTAGGCTTGCTCCTCTCTGGTGAATGAGTCCAAGCACTGAAACAAACTGATTTTGCGCTTTCGCTGTGGTATTGGCAATGACAAATCCCAAAAGGGCTCAAACGTCACTGACGAATAGCCGCAATACGTGCATTTCAATGAAGACTTGAGCAGACCAACGAAATTATTCACTATCTTCGAATAATCCACTTTCGAGAATCTCGACCATGATTCCGAAACCTTTTCGTTGACATCCAGAATTTCAGCGATGTCTGTAAACTTAGGATCCGGCTTCTCGATGACCTCATTGATATCCTCGTGCAAACCCAAGAGCAGGAGCCGCAGGAACTCTTGAGAGTCTTTCAAAGAGATCATATTCACACCTTGGCCAGTCGAATTCTTCGACCACAGTTCTTTTATGACTTCTGCGGAAGCCTTCATCTGAGATCCCTTCGTGCTGGATATGCTCGTTTTGATGTCTCTGTTATTAAAGTCCATTCTCAAATATTCCAACAACCACTTAGTGTGAGACAGGCACTGAATTATACTGTTCATGAAACACGTGTTCCCAGTGTTTTTCAAGCCGTTGAGGCCCGAAATCTTCCATGATATTGGATAATCCTTGGACCAGTATTCACAATTTCTGTCGCTGGAGCGAAGATATATCGATTTCGAATTTTGATTTTCAGTTAGAATACCAGATGGATGAGTTGAATAGGTTGACTGGTGATTCGATAATGACTCAACGACACTTGATGTGGGTGGGAGAGCAACAGCATCACCCAGTACATACAAAATATCTTCGAGTCCTTTGCTAGATGGAATAGTATTGAGAATGGAAGCAGCATTTCCTCTCTGAATCTCAATTGAAATTCTTTGGCGATTGAAAGTGCCGCAAGCAAAATTTTCTTGAAGTTCAAGGTCAAATGCGTTCAAATTGAAAATTAGATTTTTTCCAGATTGACGGATACCATATGGATAGATAAAAAGTTGGAAACACGATATCCTATGGATGTCCATACGTCATCCAGTGTACACAAACTGGATGTACGAGATGTCCAGAGGAGGATGTCCATAGGACGTCTATTGGATCGAGTTGTGTTATTAGGGTGAGAGTATTTCTAAAATTATTTTCTCAATACATTAAAATTATACAATGGAAAAAACAGAACAGTCCAGTTTTTTATGGAGGCCAAACTGCAGCAAAAAATGTCAATGGTTTCATTCATCATATTATATATAGAACACATCTTGTAAACAGGTGCATTGAATTTAACATCAATGTGACAAAGTGGAAGGTAGAAAGTATTATTTCTCCGGGTTGTGAGTCTGGGAATATGAAAGTGGATCATCTCCAAAATGCAGCTGCAGTCCAAATTGTTCCGGATAACATTGAAAAGAAATATAACATGTGACCTATTTCGACGATCTAGAAGTGAAGCAACTGAAAATCTTGAAAGAAGTTGATCATGTGGATGACCTACATCTGGGTAGTTGCCATCAAGTTCAAAACATAGGAACTTCAAAAATGTTCGTTGGATATTTTCTAAATTAGATATATGTACCTGATAATGTGGTGCCCAAACTATTGATTCATACTCTGAATTCGATCTAACAAGTGTATAATATAGTTGCAGAAGCATTTTCTCATTTCTTCCAAAATTTTTTGAAACTCTAATAATGAATCCCAACGACATATACGTTTTTTTGACGACTTGCTCGATATGATTTCCAAACGATAGTTTTTTGTCAAATATTACTCCTAGATCTTAGGAATTTTCAGATCGGTTCCATACGAAATTGTCTAGTCTATATTTGTGAATAATTGGATTCAGCTTGGTGGTAAAGGACATAACATGACATTTGAAGACATTAAAGAATAAGTTATTCTCGATGCACCAGACATTGAGTCTGTCAAGAACTTTTTGTAGAACAGCACAATCCTCTTCGGTGATAATGTCATGGTATATCTCAAGATCATCGGCATATAATAGGTGATTGATGGTGAGAGTATCCACAATGTCATTGATGAACATTATGAATAATAAGGGTCCGAGGTTAGACCCCTGGGGCACATCTGACGTAGGAAGGACTTCAATAGACCTATGACCATGAAAGCTTACATACTGCTTTCCATCAAAAAGGTAAGATTGGAAAAATGATGTGAGATTTGGAGTTAGTCCAAAGTTCGAAAGTTTGTGAAGTAGAATTATATGGTCCAGCCTATCGAAGGCCTTCGAAAAATCCGTATAAATTACATCACATTGAGAGCTATCATCAATGGTATCAGATAACTTCTCTGATGTGATGATGGAAAAGTGAAGAAATAGCTTAAATAAGCATCGTCAGCATGGAGCGTATATTCGATGATAAAAGCCACAATTGCAACAGACATTTTGAAAATACATTTTCAAATTTAGCTTCTATTGAATCCCTAGGGATTTAAAGTACCACAATAGGGAATAATAAAGGTACCCTTTCAATCCCTGAAGTGCATAAAATAACAAATTTACAATAGACATGACTACCTGTCTGATTCCTCATCGAAAAAATTGACCATTCAACTTGTATAAGGTATAGAACCGCCACGTCATAGTGCCGCGTGCACCGCTGAAGCTTTACAAAATTGTGTCAAGAAGCCTCGGCTGTCCCTTGAGACCGCTGAATAATTTTTCTAAAATCAGGTCCTTTGGATACTTCAGAATGAATTATATTGGATAGCAATGTGACAAGACGCATATAAATGGGTTAAAACCATGAAAAAAAAAGTTGGTCTGGCAGGTGAAATATGGTTATGTTGATGACTCTCAACGTGTTACAGTGTTACACGTTAAACATAGAAAATATTTGAGTACCAAATATTTTATTTCAATATGTCCAGGTATATATTAATGATTGTGGAAATTAACTCGAATCAAAGGATAATAATAATAATCATAATATGCTATATTATACAGATGGATGTTGACCCAGCGGCTACCTTGGACAATTCCTGCAATAATAGCCATGCATTTTTGACAAAGATTCTGAGGGCGTGGTTTTTTATTCACATCATTCATCATCCTCATCTCTCAAGTCTTCCAGCGGCACCTACAAAATTATCAATGCGTTAGGTGGTTAAAGGCCAGTTCGCAAATTTTTTTATGTTTGTCGAAATATTCAAATACAATGCTCAATTTCATGGGCATCGCCAGAAAAAATTACGTAGAGGACCGTACCGTGGACGTCCATTGGACGTCTGTGGGACGCACAAATGTCCCACTTGAGGACCACTTAGGGACGCTCTTGAGGGACGTCCCTGGGACAACTATCGAGGACAACCTTTTAGCAACGCTGAGGGATATCAATTGGATGTCCATAGGATGTCCCAGGGACGTACGAATTATTCTTGAATTTGAATTTTTCTGAGTCCCTCTAAGACCAGACCTTGCATAACTGATGAGGACATCCAGTTGAGTTGATGGTCCGTAGAAGGTTCCCAATAGATCCTGAAAAAGTTTCTTAAGGATGTCCAATGGACTTACGTGAAGGACATTGATGGGGAGTATTTATAGTCTGCGAGCAATAATTCATCGGCGAGGTGTAAGTTAACGTCCTCGCAGGGACAACATATTGAAAGTACCGACTGGGACGTCCATAGGACGTTATTTCTAGGACATTGGATAAGTACAATTCATGTACCAATTGGGACATTTCGATTTTTATACGATCCTGGAAATATTAAGGGCGTCTATGCAGAGATATTTGAAGAAATGTACTATCAGGGACATTTCATGGTTGTGTGGAAGGCGCATTATATAAGATATGAAGTCAAGCCAGAATATGTACTACTCGGGACATCCGATGGATGTCCCTAAAGGAACGTTCAAAATCATATCCCATCAGGGACATACCAAGGACGTCCTTGCATGGACATTCTATAAAATGTACCACGTGGGACGTCTAAGGGATGCTATTTCTAGGACATTTGAAATGATGTACCAGCTGGGACATTCCGTGGACGTCCATACTCTGACATTGCATGATATGTACGGGATGGGACGTCCCAAGGACACTTATTTTTGGTCCGGGACATTCGGACTTGAATTGTACCAAATTGGGACGTCCCTAGGACGTTGTGTGCTATTAAGGGTCCATATAGGCGCTTAAAGAGATGGGATATGAGTGGGGAGGAGTGGGGATATTTTTTATTGCTTTGAAATCGTGGTAGCACCTGGGGGGAAGTGGGGTGAGGTACTACATTTGAATCATCTCGGACAAGGCGTTTCATATAATTATGATCGAACTTCACTTAGGTAAGTTCGTTTGATCTTATAATTATACTGCTTCAACATTGTGTTCAGTCATCTCTAACTCATTCAAAAGAGTCCAATTTTACGGAATTCATAATTTTCACCAACACACTTTTAGACTCAATACCTCGAGAGGCTGTCCGTGGCTGTCGCCCAAGCTGCTCCCAGCACTATTACTGCTAAAATATAACTGCGCAGTGTGCACACTGCACTGTGCATCGCTTAACCTAGTTCATCAGTTGATGTTCGGTGACCTCAGTTGATGTCCTAGTCCTAGGTCTTGTGATTGGTCTTGTGTCCAGCCGTTACCACCGATACAACAAGGCCTGCATGCTCCGTGGGTGACGTCACTTAGTGAGCCCTAACCAGCGGCTCGAAACGACAAGCGCTTATAGCGCTATAAGGCGATCATCATTGAGCCGATTTTGCTGTTTTTTGAAGGGGTTCCGGTTGAAAAAGGATGCCACTCTTCTACTGAACCCTTCTTCGCACCCCATTCGATTTTATTATGGAAAAACGAAGTTTTAAAGCAAAAACCAGGATAAAACACAAATATCCACCTACAGCAACCCATTCGAATTAAATATATTGGCAAAAATTGTGGTGAAGGTAAACTTCACACCTACTTATTCAGGGCCCGCAGAACATATTTTTGTCTAATAAACCGAATTTTATAATGAAAATGTGAACAAACCACTATTTATTGAGATATTTCAAGAAAAAGTTCGAAATTTCGCCTTCTTTCTCCCCTTGTGTTGGGGGCATTTGAAGCTACTTGCTCTTATTTTGTCATTGGACACTTTATATACTCATGATGTACTTCGATGGCACATTTTTATATAGAAAATTCAAAAGGAAATATGATTTTTATGGCGAGTTTTTGATATTTAGTGAACAAGCATTCCAGATGACGACCATTTAATCAATAGTCAATCAAAATACGAGATGTCAAATGTCAATAGATTGCTTTCGAATGACATTACACACGCCATTATTTTGAATGATATTCTTCCTTCTTTTCACTAAATATGGATTAATCTCAAGAAAATCATATATTTATAGTTGAATTATATATAAATTGTCCAATATGATGAAAAAAGAAGGGAAATTTGTTCTAAATGCCATCCAGAAGACAGGTGAAAAAGAAGGTGAAATTTGGAACTTTTTAGTCAAATATCTTCATGATAAATATCATGATAAATGCAGTTTTACCTTTTTAAGTAGAGTGTTTGTAGTTCATGTTAATATGATAGTTGCAATTTGATCATTGGAATGAATTCGGCATTCATCGCCACGAGACAAATGACCGTTTTCAGAAAGAAATTTGAGAATGAGAATTAAAAATGCCCGTTTATTATGAACATTCAAGAAAATTTCCTCGAATTCAGAGATGATTCTGTTGACTATAATATACGAATACAAAACTAACTGCTCCTCTACTTGTACTTTTTATGAGAGAGTAATTGTCTTCTATTATTAATTCATCATTATAAATTAAGCTCTGTTTACTACTGAACTTAGATGGAGTAAAATCTTCGCGGTGGATTGCATATTTGTACCCACATTTTCGATAGCTCCTCGTCCAACGGGAAACTAAAAGCATGAACTTTTGAACCACCCACATAATTCCCCCGACAAAAGGGAACACAACACTTGAAAGGCATTGTTATTTCGCCGATCACAACACAAAATATTTCACAAAACAGAGTAATTTTTCCGCCAATTATTTCGATGAATAAACAACAAAAGAATTCGGGACACGAACTGACGACAAGCGATAAAATAAAACACTGGCCTCTCTTGGTAACGTCACGAGCTGTTTACGTCAGAGTCTGCTGGCCTTGTTGTATCGGTGGTAACGGTCCAGCCCAGCAAGCGGAATTGCACCATGCGCGGATCCAGGGGGGACATGCAGGTGTCGCCTAGATGAATATTCATTTTTGAAACTCGTATTTGGTAAATAATTTTGAAATCCCGGAAATAGGATGAGTGTGATAAACTATGTCTACCAGAAATTCGTAAATTTGTATGAATATCACTACTTCAACGTTGGAAACCTACTCCCCAGAAGTCGATAGTTTTGCGGGACTAAGAGGAGCAAAGCAATGCTAGATTCTAAATTCCGTCAAATCGTTTTGATTCCTGCGTTACCTAGTATTTTTCTCAATGAAGTTCTCATATTCTCTCAGAAATCAAATAGGTACACTGATACTTGAATTATCAAAAAAACTGTATTGCCTATATAATGTTTTGAATGAATTATAGCATACAGATACCTTCACATGAAATACCACCTCATAAGAAAAAATTACCTATATACCTATTTGATATACTTTTCAGAAACTTGAATTTCTATTCGTATGCATTGGATCTTGAACCAGATGAAAAATTGTCTCTGCATGGTGGTTCGTTCATCCTCCTCTGTTCCCTGTATAATCGTACTGCTGGATCCACGCCTGCAAAACCCTCACTCATCTCTTTTGAAAAGAACAGTATCCTTATATCTAACATATACATATTATGCTTTTCCAAGAGCAAATTATATTCGATAAGAGGTGGATATTTATGAAGAAAGCATTATGTGCTACAAAATGGAAAATTATTTTCATTTTGACATATTTTATGGTAATATGCAACAAAAAGTATACCGAGAATTTGGATATACATTTGAAATAAACATATATGCTTATTCTAATGGTAAGAAAATCATATGTTGAATAAAAAGTTAGTTAGGACTGTTAGGAGAAAGACAAACATTTTCTAGATTGACATATTTTATCCCAGAGGGTGGTAGAATTTCTGTAATACCATAAAATATGTTCTACATGTTTCTCTCCGTGTGTCCAGTTTCGTGGCAAATGGATATCCGATGGATATCTATTGGATGTCTCTCTGGATATAATCGGACGTCCAATGGATATTCGTAATGGCCATTGTGGACATACATCGGACAACCATTGTATGTACGTGTGTTATATGGGCTTCTTCTTTCGTATCGGCTTTCGTAGATAGAAAGATATATAGATCACTATTTGTATTACCTCGCACTTACCGTATAGTGTGGCAACACGAAGATACGACATTTTTTGCACTTTTGACCCAAGATGGGCCATGTATATCCACTGGACCAACGTTTGTTACATTTTGGACATAAATCTTGTTCAAAGCATCTTTTTTCTTTTTCTTTCGCCTATAATTCAGATTATATGTACAGGGTGAGCAACTAAGAACGGCTGACGGCCATATCTCAGCAACGAATAATGATACAACTATGAAAAAAAAATATCACGAGAAAAATGACCCTAAAAAATAGCTGGAAAATACGGAGAAATTTTCAATTTTCTCTTTACTCATAGCCGTTACGCCACCTAGCGGTTATGTTAGAGAACCTAAAAATATTTTCCAGGTTTTTTTTAGGGTCACTTCTCGAGATATTTTTTTTCCAAAGTTGTATGATTATTCGTTGCTGAGATATGGCCGACAGCCGTTCTTAGTTGTTGTACATGGATAATAATAAATATATACATACACTTATGATTGATTATACAGGGTATTTCCTAAACATTGATGAAAAATTCGTGGGATGACCCCTAAAATACAGGGTGTTGCGAAATTCGACCGACAAAGCTTGACATGTGATAGCCCTGGTGATTTCATAATCACTGAGATAGGGACATACGGTCTTCAAGTGTTCAGTTCTCGAGATACAGGGCGTTGAAGTTGAGAAATTAAAATAGTTTTTCCGCAATATCTCAAGAAAAATTGAATATAATGCATTCAAATCCGATATATGGTTTCATCTTCCAATGGTTAATTTTTTGACCAGAAAGACATTCCGAGAATTTCATCCGGAGGTGCGCTACAGAGGGTTGTAATAACTTTTCCTCCCATATTTTCTACGCCACTAATGATATTTCAATTATTTCCAATTTGTCGAATTGATTGTTCAATTATGTTGAAAAAATGCATCACCTTCAACTGAGCTAAAATGAACAGTTATCGAGATATTTGACCCAAAATAGAAGTTTGCATAGTAATTTTTCATCTTCCTCAGTAGTAGAAAATTACAAAAAATTGTGTTTTCTCTTTATGCGTGGAATAACTATTACTGTTCAGCTATAGAATGAGATCTGAATAGTATCTAATCTACTCAACACCAGAAAAATATTTTTGCAATTCTCTACTACTGAAAATGATGAAATATTACTATGCAATCTTCTATTTTGAGTCGAATATCTCGAAAACTGTTCATTTCAGCTCAGTTGAAGGTGATGCATTTTCTGAACAAAATTGAACAATGAATTCGAGGAATTGGAAATAATCGAAATTTAATCAGTGGCGTAGAAAATATGGGAGGAAAAGTTGCCACAACCCCCTGTAGGGCACCACTGGATAAAATGTCCAGAATGGCTTCCTGGTCAAAAAATTACCCATTCAAAGATGAAACCATATACCGAAGTTGAATGCATTATATTCAAGTATTCTAGAGATATTGTGAAACAACTATTTTTATTTCTCATCTTCAACGCCCTGTATCTCGAGAACTGAACACTTGAACACCGTATGTCCCTATCTCAGTGATGATGATATCACGAGGGCTATCACCTGTCAAGCGTTGTCGGTCGAATTTCGCAACACCCTGTATATTTATGAAAAATTGTCCCTATGAATATTCGTTGAATAACGCCTCCTGAGGGAGCTTACGCGCCTCCAAGTATATAGTACACCCTGAAGAGGTTTTTACCTCAATATTTATGAGACAAATCCAATTTTTTATGGTATCTTTTCACATTCTGATTTCAGAATATGATACCTGTTTTTTTACGTAATAAATGTGTAGTGGTACCTACTTCTATATATGAACTCCCTGTATGTGACAAGGGGTGTTGACGGAGACGTCATAATTAATATATTGAGATTCCAATCAAAACGTTGAGATTCTTTCATAATTCATCCAACCATCCACAAAGGTATAGGTGTGAAAACGCATCTACATCGATACATCAGCATCTTTTCCTCAAGAAAATATTGAAAGGACCACGCACACATTATATGGGAAAATGTCTTTCGGTGAAAATGACTGGATTTTTGATATGTTGTAGCTTAAGTCAGTCTGAGTAAAAGACTCCATTGGCTAACTCGATCGTATGGCCAGATTCAGCGCTAGAGGGTGAAACAACATGAATTTCGTGTATTTTCGAGATTGCGGAGCTCAATGAATAATATGAAAATATCGTGATATGGATTTCATCCCAAAATGGAGACTAGAGAAGAAGGGCGCAGAGAAGATGCAATAGCCTTTTTACAGGGTGGTCTTCAGAGAATGCGAATGCAATCGCCTACGAGACTTGGTTGATTTATTGAGTTCATCAATGACCATTGATCAGAATGAATGATGACAAAAAAAAATATTATGAATACAGAGTGATCCAAATATCAAAAAATCCAATATGTCCTCTGATGTTATTTTCTGAACCTGTTTTACGAAATACAACAAGACGATTCACGAACACAAGTCATCACTCTCTGCCTACTTTGCCGTTATATCCGTATACAAAAAATCCATGTCTTTTTTAAAGGAATTCGAAAGAATAATGGAATGGTAAAATATATCAGGCCAGTGTATACAGGGTGTCTGTAAAAGGTCTTTACAAAGACATACCACATATTCCTTAGACCAAAATGAGTCGATTTAAGTAGAATTACCTCAGTACAAAGCTGCATCGTTTGGGCTCCAGAGGGCCTTGAAGTTTCAATTTTTGAATCGTTTTTATCATATAAATTCAAAACGGCATATGCGATTTTGCTGAAATTTAGTATATTGATAGAATTTTAGGTGGCAAAAAAATGGTGTTGAAATTTTCTCCGATAATAATACATAGGCGTAGAACTTGATTTTTTAAATAATTGCACCTTTAAAAATTCTACGCCAATGGAAGAAAAGGAGTTTGAGTATCATATTTAGATTGCGCAACTCATTTACTTTAAGAAAGGTAGGTACTCTTGATGAGACTCGATTGCTCTCATGGTTTTGACGAAATTTGCATTTTAGTAATTTTAGAACATAAAAAATGATTATTAAAATACAAACTTTGTCAAAACCATGAGAGTAAATCGAGTGTTATCAAGGGTATTTTTTTGTAGTTAATGAGTACCCAATCCAAATTTCATACTCGAACCCCTTTTCTGCCATTGGCGTAGAACTTGATTTTATAAATAATTGCACATTCAAAAATTCTACGCCAATGGCAGAAAAGGGGTTTGAGTATGAAATTTGGATTGGGTACTCATTTACTACAAAAAAATACCCTTGATAACACTCGATTTACTCTCATGGTTCTGACAAAGTTTGTATTTTAATAATTATTGTTTATGTTCTGAAATTACTAAAATGCAAATTTCGTCAAATGCATGAGAGCAATCGAGTCTTATCACGAGTACCTTTTTCAAGGTAAATGAGTTGCGCAATCTAAATTTCATACTCAAACTCCTTTTCTTCCATTGGCGTAGAATTTTTAAAGGTGCAATTATTTGAAAAAGCAAGTTCTATGCCTATGTATTATTATCGGACAAAATATTGACACGATTTTTTTGCCACATAAAACTCTATCAATATACCGAATTTCAGCAGAATCGCATATGCCGTTTCAAATTTATATGGGAAAAACGATTTAAAAATTGTAACTTCAAGGCCCTCTGGAGCCCAAACGATGCAACTTTGTACTGAGGTAATTTTACTTAAATCGACTTATTTTGGTCTAAGGAATATGTGGTATGTTTTTGTAAAGACCTTCTACAGGCACCCTGTATATTGTAGATACCATCAATATGGAAGGAAACTCTTCAAAGTGTTATGTATTTTGTAGAATAGTTGAGAACTGGAATATCTGATGTTAACCTCATATAGAATAGAAAAGAATAGAAAAATATTTATTGTAATAATATAATTATTACAAGAGGGGTACGTTCGCATAAACACGTTCTTCCACGCCCCCTTTACCAGGTACAATTACAAAACAAAAACAAATAATATATATACACATTAATATCATTCTAAAACTATCACAGATGGTTTGGTTCATTGGATTGTCTTGCTAGTAAACTATCCCTGAATAATGTTTTGAAAGAAACAAATGACCTACCTTGCAACATATCAAAATTATCGATATTATTCATAAAACTGACTGATAGATGAGCGAAGCAATCTTCAAATTTTGATGTTTTGTGCTGGTGAATATCGTATCTCCACATATTTCGAAGTTGTCGATCATGAATTTCATTTCTTGGGATAAGATAATTATGCAAATAGTCTGGTTTTTTGTCAGTATAGATTCTAAAAATATATACAGTAAAAAACATTTGATATCTGTAATTTGTTTTAAGATGTTTATTATCATTGTAAATAGCAGTAACGTGATCAAACTTTCTTACGTTGTATACGAATCGCATACAAGAATTCTGAGCCAACTGTAATTTATTTTTAAGTTCAATTGTCAGGAAGCTGTAGTACACTGTCATACAGTAGTCAACTTGTGGATAAAGGAGAGTCTCAACTAATTTATACTTGATTTTTTCATTGCGGACGAATTTGAATTTATACAATGACTTCAGTTTCATGAACATAATTTGAATTTTCTTATTAACGTGTTCCTCAAAATTGAGTTGAGAATCAAAAATAACACCAAGATTCCGACATATGTTTTTGTGTGAGATTTCTTTGTTTTGGATATGTATCGTTGTGAAGTTGAAATGATTTACTCTATTTATCAAACCCGCGTTCCCTATTAGCATGTAAGCACTTTTGTCAGCATTCAAACAAAGTCCGCGATCTCGGGACCAATTATATATTCTCTCCAGATCATCATTGATTTCTTGAAGAGCATAACTCGAATCTGAAGGTCTGAAAGTTTTAACTAATTGCGTGTCATCAGCATAAAGATGGACTTTGCAATTTGATACTATTGTAGACAAATCGGCTGTATATAGAATGAATAGTATGGGTCCCAGAATGCTACCTTGTGGTACTCCATGCCTCATATCAAGCATACCTACCTACCAAAGGAACTACAGCACACTGGCTACGTGCGCCCATGATCCCAGAGTACTAGAACCTTATTGCTTGCATGTGCAGTGATAACCATCAATCCGCAGGGGCGTATTTCAATATTCAGCGCCCCGGGCCTGTAGGGT